TCGAGCAACCATGATCCCCCACCGGAAGCAAACACCTACACGAGATCAATGCTTGGTTTTAGGTACCCATTTAGTAATGGGTCCTTTGATGTTAGTAACAAGGGTCTTGGGAACCCAAATAAACCATTCAATGTATTCATAAGAGGAACCAACAAATTTAGCATAAACATGTCCATCACTAGCACGACACAACACATATGAAGGGTTAAAGTCGCCGGCTTTGTTTGAGGAAATGTTCTTGCCCTTTTGAACATCAACTTCCTTAACTTTCTCCTTCTTCTTCTTAGAAGTACCCTCTCCCTCTTTCACGAACGTTTGTTTGAGGGAAAGAGGACGATTGGCCTTGTTGTTCTTCTTCTTCTTGCTCTTGGACTTGTGTGCAAACCCAATTCCTTCTTTGCCCACAACTTTTGATTGCTCAAAAGGTCGTTGAGGTTTTTCTCACCTTGAATACAAGTCACAAGGCCCTTCTCAAGTTGTTCCTTCAACTTGGCATTTTCCTCCACAAGATGCACATGCTCACAACAAGGGTTAGTAGCACATGCATTATCAATTAATACCATATGAGGAAAGGTGGCCTTTTCCTTGATTAGCTTAACTTGGAGTTGAGCATGAGACTCCTTGAGGCTAGCATGAGTACCCTTCAAGACCTTGTGGGCCTTGTCAAGTATCTCAAACTCCTCTTTGAGTCTAGCATGATCAACCCCAAGTTTAGCCTTCTCGGAGGTTAGCACACGAGTCATGACAAGTGCATGATCAAGATCTTTCTTTAACTTAGCATGGTCATCATTGTGTGACTCCTCAAGAGTCAAAAGATACACACGCTCTTCCTCAAGAGCATTAGAGAGATCCGATATCTCATCGGCATAGTCACGACTATGACCTTCCATCTTGGAGATGGTTTCTTCGTGAGCCTCGATCATGTCATTGGCCTCACCAAGTTGTTCCAAGAGAGCAACAAAGTGCTTCTTGGACTTTTCCTTGAGCTTACTCATAAAAGACTCAAATTCGTTCACTTCCTCATTAGACTCAACATGTCCATCAATGCAATCCAACACGGAGGGATTAGTAATGAAGGTGGTTGTGATGTTGGGGGTTACCTTGTTTGAAGCCTTAGCCATGAGGCATCTAGCGGTGATGTTTTCGTTGGGTGATTCGAAGAGAGACACCCGGGGAGTAGCAATGGCAATGGATGCCATGGCCGTTGCTTCTTCATTTTCATCATCATCGTCATCCTCTTGATATTCTTCTTGAACCACCAACCCACGCGTGGGAGTCTTCTTGGCGAAGTTGTTCTTGTTGGGGAAGGACTTGGCTTTGTCTTTTCGAATGAACTTGCCATCATTGTCTTCCCGCTTCTCGTAAGGACAATCCGCAACGAAATGGCTCACATTGCCACAGTTGAAACAAGTTCTCACTCGTTGTTTGCCCTTGACACCACTTGAGTTGTTCTTGTTGAAGTTGGGTCTTGAGCTCTTCTTGCTCCAAAACTGTCTTGAAGCAAGGGCCATGTGCTCATGCTAGTCAAACTTGGTGTCTTCGGGGTTGCTTTCCTCATCCTCCACTTCTTCCTCAATAACCTTGGCCTTCAAGGCAAGGTTAGGCGTTTTTACTCTTTGAGAACGGAGCACCGCATTGTCGGCGGTCTTGTCCAAAATGCTCATTGCAACGAACTCATCCAACACTTCACTTGAGGTCAAGGTGTGGAAGTCCGGTCGTTGACGAATGACGGAGGACATGGCTTTGTTGTAGGGCATCATGGCCTTGAGGAACTTCCGCTTGATCCAATTGTCATTCGTGTCCTTGCTTCCATGATCTCGGAGTGCCACCGCGAGTTTGGTCACTCTTCGAAAGAGCTCACGAGGTTCTTCGTCTTCTTTCATTGCAAACTCATCGGCTTCATCTTGCACCACCTCATAGTTGGACCGTTGAATGCTAGCACTTCCACGATAGAGACCCTCGACACATTTCCATGCTTCTTTAGCCACGACATGGGGTCGAAGGTGAGGGAGATCTTCGGGAAGGATTGCATCTTGGATGATGAAGAGAGCACTTTCATTGAATTGATTGTCCACGGCTTCTCGAGGGGTGAAGTTGCTTGGGTCATGAGGATAAAAACCTTCTTCAATGATTCTCCAAAGGTTAGTGTTCACATGTTTCAAATGACGCTTAAAGCGATAGACCCAATTATCAAAATCTTCATGTTTCTCATATTTAGGAGGTGGACCGGCATGATTCAAATGAGTGGAGGGAATAGGCCCTCCATAAACCGGTGGTTCCACATGGGCAAAGATGTCGGTGCCATTTCTACCACTAGTAGAAGGACTCTTTTCATTGTTAGCTTCCCCTTTGTCGGAGATAGCATCCGTCACCTTGTTAGTAGGATCACCCACTTTCATAGGTGCGGTAGATAGTTTGAGTCCCTCTAGGAAATCATTAAACATGCTTTTAACCTCGGCCGTCATGGAGGTTTTCAATGTGTCTAAAGCCACATTGAACTCCTCACGAGAGACCGAGGTTCCCCCTTCGGCCGAAGATGAGATGGGATTCACACCGGAGTGTTCCTCCGCACCATCGTTGGTGTCAACCATACTCTTCAAACGGCAAAGTCCTTAATAAAGAGACGAGGCTCTGATACCAATTGAAAGGATCGATATGGTTGACTAGAGGGGGGGTGAATAGGCAACTAACAATTTTTAACCTTTTCTTTACCAAATTAAACTTTGCAACAAATAGGTTGTCTAGATATGCAACTAAATGAGCAACCTATATGATGCAATATCAACTAGCATGCAAGCAAACAAGAGATGTAACAATAAGTAAGCAAGCGAGAGTAAAGGCACGAAATAACCAATAGTGGAGCCGATGGAGACAAGGATGTGTTACCGGAGTTCTTTCCTTTTAAAGGGAAGTACGTCTCCGTTAGAGCGGTGTGGAGGCACAATGCTCCCCAAGAAGCCACTAGGGCCACCGTATTCCCCTCACACCCTCACACGATGCGAGATGCCGTGATTCCACTATTGGTGACCTTGAAGGCGGCGACCGAACCTTTACAAGCAAGGTTGGGGCAATCTCCACAACAATCGGAGGCTCCCAACAACAACCACACCACGAAGCTTCACCGCAATGGAGTATGGCTTCGAGGTGACCTCAACCGTGACCTCAACCGTCTAGGGTGCTCAACACCCAAGAGTAACAAGATCCGCAAGGGATAAGTGGGGGGAATCAAATATCCTTTGGTGGAAGTGTAGATCGGGCCCTTGTCACCCAATCCCGAGCAAATCAACAAGTTTGATTGGCTAGGGAGAGAGATCGGGGGAAAATGGAGTTTGGAGCAACAATGGAGCTTAGAGGTGGAAGAGGTGGTCAACTAGAGGTAGAAGACAACCCTTATATAGTCGTGGAAAAAATCCAACCGTTATCCACTAGTTCTGCCCACGACACACGGTACTACCGCTCCAAGGACGCGGTACTACCGCGGCGCCGTGCGGTACTACCGTGGTCCACCACGGTACTACCGTGACAACTGCACAGGCCGGAACAAGCCTGAAGAAGGGGTTGTACTACCGCTCGCGCGGTACTACCGCTCCCCGTTGCGGTACTACCGCAAGGCAGGAGAGTCACGGCCTGGGAAGGGCGCGGATGAAAATAAATTACATCCGTGCAAACTTCCGCAGAAACTAGGGTGGTGCGAAAACCCGACACGGTACTACCGCCTGCGAGGCGCGGTACTACCGTGGTCGGCGCGGATGAAAAAAATTTCATCCGCGCCTACTACCGCGACACTGCGGTACTAGGCCGAAAGGGCCACGGTACTACAACTCCAAGGGAGCGGTACTACCGTGTGCCACCACGGTACTACCATGCTGGACGAGCGGTACTACCGTGAATGGCATGGATGTAAAAAATTACATCCGCCCCCTACTACCGCACCGGAGCGGCACTAGGCCAGGGAGCCGCGGTACTACCGCACCAAGGGGGCGATACTACCGTTAAGAGCCGCGGTACTGCCGCTCGTACCTGCGGTACTACCCCAAGTACAGCAGTAGTCGCCAGTTTTCCACACAACCAAGATAACGACGGGTAGCTCCAAAGTGCAAGGAAAGGAGGGACAAGTGTACGTGTGATTCCACCCTACCTTTCCGACGCAGACCGCCTCTTAATAGTACGGCTCTCCTACGACTCAACTCCACCAAGGAGAAACGTAGAACAATGCCGGCTTCAACAGTCTCCGAGGGGCACCGAATCGTCTTGTACCTAATGATGAGAAATTTGAGGGACTCAAGGCACACGATTAGTCCGCACAAGCATTGTCATCAATCACCAAAACACTTAGGGAAAAATATGCCCTTACACAAGTATAGTTGGTGAGCTTCCAAGATTTTCGTGGGATGACCCCGTTTTTCTAGTAGTGTTGCAATTAAGTGACTGGTGGTAAAAGCACGTACCGCTAGAAGGCCATGCTAAATTGAAGGCCTAAAGAAGTTGCATTGGACAGATATCACTCGCTTTGCAAAAAATGCTCTCCTATATTTAAACTTCCCACGCATAATGCCATAATGTTAGCACAAACCAGCCACCTGGAGGCATTGCAACACCTGCGTATTTTACAGGTGGAGGCTGGACTACAAGTCGTCGACAGAGACAAACTTATGGCGGCTTCACTAGCACTAGGGATCACAGGAAGTGACTGTTGCATGCTAGACACCCAGAACTGACTAGCCAGGTTTTGCTGTTCTGTAGCCTAGTTTTTGCTTTGTTGTAGCCCTGTTTTTGTTGCTATAAGTTCTCTTTTGATTGTTTGTCGCTGACACTAGTGGCATTGTACTAAACAACTTCTCCGAGTGTTCTCTAATACAAAGTGGCACACATTTATATGCATGGTCGAGAATAACATTAGCAGAAACCAGCTTTATCAAGAGAATTTGATGCAGATTAAGACAAACTAGAAAAGTACATATAAACTAACGATAAATGCAAGTGAAAACTCTTTGACTGACCATCCTGAATAGCACTGTTCAACTTTGAGTAGTTCTTCTCTAGAATATTAATGTAAAGATCTCTCTGAGAATCTGTAAGTGCACACGGAACTTCTACCCACTTCTTTGTTGGCATAGAATCTTTTAGCACATCAGCTTTCAATCTCCTCAACATCCTAGCAAACCAAACATGAAAGAACTAAGAGCCACATCGAAGTTATGAAATAAACAAAGTATATAACTTCATCATTAGACAGAAAAATCACCTAGGCTTTAAAATCTCAGGAATGCGGGCGATTTTTTCATCTATTGTCAGACCACGCTCAGATTCAATTGGTGAGAACAACAGATCATCCTTTGGGTCAGAGAACTCATTTGGATCAATATAATGAAGCAATGAAAACAACTCCAGGACGTTATTTTGGAATGGTGTTCCCTGTACGGCGAAGAGAAAGAGGACCAAGGTCCAACCACATGATCAGATCATTCCGGAAAAGGGCAATTAAAATGCATTTCAATGAGAAGTACTATAAGCTATATATGCCTCAAATAACATTTTATTTGGTCTATGGAATCATAGGACTGGGGAATAACTTTATAAAGCTTACTATTTAAGATAACTATTCCGAAATGCCTACGGGCAGTGTGGAGTTGAAATATTTGCTCCTAAACAACTACAGTAGGCAAATGATTCATTCCCTCAAAAGTCTATAGACCTCTTTCTGATGAAATTTTTTGACAGAGCTCTTTCTAAAAACAAATCAATGATACCAAGCTGGTATGCACACATCCAAATCAATGATATCACAAAATATGAGTGAGCCCTTATGGTACACAATATACATCACGGCTAAAGTACAAACTTCCAAGGATCTGAGGTAAACAGGGTGTAATAGTTTGCATGACACAGATGGAATTCCCAGAATTAGACCAGATGGGACAAATCATTACTTCTCAAATTAGGCAAAAGTACACCTAGGGCTAGGGTATGGAAGACTTACTGTAAGTAGCAACCGGAAATCTGAGCTATATTTCAATAGGCAGGATGCAAGATTACAATCAAGCGTCTTCAATCTGTGAGCCTCATCAACTGAAGCGAAAGGGAGGTGATGTACGACAGCAGAAATGTTAACTTTCAGGCTAATAACAGAGACAAATTAAGACTAGATAACCTCGATGCAGCTAAAAAAAACTTACTGACAATCGTTGACCACTTAATCTTTTTTAGAACTGCTTTATCAATTTGGACAATCTCATAACTTGTCACTAGAGCATCAAACAGAGTCTTCCCTTTGGAAGAGTACAGTTCATGAGCTTGAATACACTTTCTGGAGTCCTTATCTCCTTGGTAAACAACAATACTAAGATCATGTGCCCAGCGATCAAATTCCTAATACAGAGAACATGCATCCAGAAATTACATTTGACACAGTATGAAGAGTTAAGGACAATGATTTGAGCTCCTTCACTACAAACGTTCAGGATACTATGGCAGAAGATCATGAAGGTTATACAAACCTTTTCCCATTGCAGTAGGATGCTCTTGGGAACAATGACCAATGCAGGAGATGTGGTCAGACTTCCTTTGATTATGCGGTTGAGAAAGCAAACAACTTGGACAGTTTTGCCAAGACCCATTTCATCTAAAAATAGAAAAAGAAAAGGAAAAATTTCCATTATTGTCTTTACAATATAAATGAGAAAAGAACAATCAAGAATTACGCCAAGAAGCTTCTTCCAAGACATATGCATGCAGTAATTCACAAGTAACACCCTACATCGATGTCTTTGGTAAGAAAAGTAAAAGTATCTCTTCAGACCGGGTTATTTCAGAAGGAACCAAAGTTAATACTGCCTCCGTCCGGAATTAGTTGATGCTCAAACTGATGAATCAGATACATCCGTTTGAGTGTCAACTAATTCCGGATGGACAGAGTGCCAGATTCCATCGCGATAAATTTGTACTCCCTCTGTCCCAAAATTCTTGTCTTAGATTTGTACGGATGTATCAAGTCATGTTTTAGTATTAGGTACATCCGTATCTACACAAATCTAAGACAAGAATTTTGAGACGGAGGGAGTACATAATAATCATTGTACATAAAAACTCCGTATGTATTAAAATGCATTAAGATGCAAAACTTTTGTTATCTCAAAAAAATATGTAAGAAGCCCTTGCAACAATATTTGAATAATACTTGGGTCATATATACTGAAATAATAGTATAACATACAATGCGTCGATTTTGACTTTACAGTTCATGAACATACCAGCAAGAATAACGCTCCTCCTAGATTTGAAATTGTCAAGAATCCATTGTAACCCCTGAACCTGGTAATTGTATAGTACATTTTCTGGGACCATCACGTCAATGTTCATCGGGCTTCGTACAGTATTTTTATGCCTTTGGACAAGCATAGAAACAGCTGATGGCACGCCTTCCGTGAAATACGACTCCCATGTGGCATCACAATAGTCAAGTCCTTTCCATTTCACGAGGAACTCGTGTCCCTCAAAATCTTCATTATTATCAAAACTAGCCAGGACGTCACATAAACCATCATAACCAAACTTCCGGCGGCATGCAATGGCACGATCTACTTCAAGCCATTCAGGTTTCCTTTGATCCTCCGAGTATGCCTCTTTAGGTAAGCTGTTGCAATAAGTTTGTATAATCATAAGAAAGAATATGAGAGAGCATTCAAAAGAAGTGGTACCAGTTAAGAACACAGGGCAATTTTTTTTTAAATGGCAAGTGTGAGTTCATTACAGTTCATTATTCATTCAGGTCTTATAGAGTAACCAGAAGGAGAAAACAAATCAGTAGATAGCAGACTTAAACTGCATGTAAAAGGAATACTTGTTTGACTGTTCAAAGATTACATAGATACATAGTTCATAACACGTCAATGAAGAAAACTTTGCCTACATGGACCAACTAGATAATTGGCATCAAAAGGACAGCTTCAGATCTGACGAAAGAATAATAGCAGCAATTATAGAAGGCAAGGGGCTTACGTATTCTTGCTTATGTAGGTTCGTGCTCGTTGAGGCTCAAAAACACGAAGCCAATCAAGTGGAACCTAGAGCATGTAAAATCCAGATGTTCAGTAAAATAATTACAAATTTCACATTGATTGTACTGACATCACATAGACGAAAACCATTCTAACAAAGGAAATATATGTAGCTAACGAGACATGGCGATACATGAGTATGTGGCAATAGGGGCCGACAGCAATGCCAAGGCAGCTACAATAAACAAGAATGTGGCAAGGAGAAAAACAAACCCAGCAGTCGTGATGATGAGAAAGTGATTGCCATTTCACGAGCATTTGATACTGGAAATCTGACTCCTGAAGAATTACCCGTCTGCAACCAACAAGTGTTTGGACCTTTTTTAAGGCATATACTTCCGTCCCCTTAGCCAAGGATGCTTGATCGATTTTGCAGAGAGGACATTCCAAAGTGCCTCTACTATCCTGCATCGGAGGACTAAGACAGAAGGTGTGGAAGCTACGAGAACAGCTTGTGTTCTGGCACTAGATCAGAAGACAGCTACCGGCTCCACTCTGTGCACAAAAAAATCACATAAGATTGACGGATACAAGGTGATGAAAAAAAACAGCTCAAGCAAACCTTACAAAATTCCTCACAGAAATAACATATACCTTACATATTGAGCAAGTAGGTCCACTAGAAGCGCTTTTGCAAAGTTTTACAGTGCTACGCAATAGCTCATCATCTGGTACAAAACAGAAAGTTCATGTTATATTAACCTCGCAACAAGCACACAGGTACCCGACAGGTCATTAAAAGGCAGAAAAAATGCATGAACGTGAGTCTGCACTGTCACAGCGGCAAGCTACAGCAAGCATAATTAAGTTGGTATGGCTGCAACATCCACTGTTTAGTTTTCACTTGAGAACATTAATTCATGAATGGTACATGCATATACAGACACATATAGTAATAGTTATACAAGAGTTTTAGAAATTTCAGTGATGAGTTGGCTGTCAAGTACCAACTGTGCATTTACTGGTGGCGCAGTGTAGGTCCTATATGACTCTACTGTTGTCAATATGTCCGATTTTTTTATCTTTTGTCAGTTTGTAAGTGTTTGGCTTTGTGCATCTTAGTTATGCAGAGGCTGGGTGTTGCTCATCATGCTTTGTATCCGCTTGATACTACGTTTTGAGTTAATAAAAATGCCCTTTATAAAAAAAATACTAATTGTGCATAATATTGGCACCGTAAAACCCACCGCAAGGGCAATAAACTGACGGTTTTCAACAAATCGATAACTTATTTATACCTGATCCTGAAGATTTAGACGTTGGCAACATGCACAGAGAAGCTTTAGTGCAATTCTCCTAAAAATGAACAGGAAAGATTTATTACTTCATGAAGAGCAGGAGTTAACAGACTATTTTTTGTGAATTTACATCTGAAACATGATCAGCCTTCTGTTTCTGCTGTAGGCGCTTTGACATTCTTCTGCATGGAATTGCCTTCCTATGATCTGTGGTGATTTCAAAAGTAAAATTTAATGTTGGAGAAAATTTTGTATGGCACATGATCACCTAATTGGCACAGAATAAATACAAATTACTATATGGGTGCACAGAATAAATACAAATTACATGATTTGAAAAGATGTGGTAGTGCTTAATCCACTATGTGGGTGTGTTCATAAGAACTTAAGTCTAATCAAGAGGGGGCATCTGATCAAATGATATGGGAAGTAAGTGAAGGTTACAAGTTTGAGCGAATTCAAAACCAAATCATGAAATTTATTGTGCAATGAAACAAAGACAATAAGCAAGCATGGTCCTCCATCGTATCATCTTATAAGGATCCTTGGTTATCCGACTTAGTTTTTTCAAAAGAAGAGAAATGCTTCCAAAAGGCTGCTCAATTTACTCCAGAAAAATGCATATGGAGAGTTTATGAAGCAAAACACACAGAAAAGGGAGAATCATGGTAACAAAATGTAAACAAAAATATTGATCACAAAGTATGCCCACTTACTATCTACAGTGTCACTATCAGAATCGCCGTTGTATGCATCTTTGCTAGTTCCCATTCTGTGCCAAAGACGCTTTGACCTTCGCTGGGGGGGCAAGTGATCATCATCTGCACAATGCAAACTTTAAATTATTTGCCACAGAAGAATGGTTATATGGCTGTATCATTTTGTAGGGAGTATTTTGGTTGGTTAAGACAACATTTTGACAAATTTAGCACACAAAAAGTTGAACACTTGAGCATACCATCATCAGAGCTGCTCCGCGATATATATTTGTCTTCATTCCATTCACCACTGAAATACTCGGATGTAAATCTCTTTCTGAGGTGGTTTGGCCTCCTTCGTCGAACCAACATTTTGGACTCTGACACACCATTTGGAATTTACATATCAAGACATACATGACAACTTCACTCTAATTCATACATCTTCAAGCTACAAAACTGAAAGCAACTCACTCTTACCATCCTCACTGTTCACAAATACATCATGCTGACTCTCCCTGCTACTCAATTCTTGCTTTTCAGTTCGTTCTCTCTGTAGGCGTTTGGACCTTCTACATGGAGGCAACAGTTGCCCACCTGCAGTGAAATAAGTTCAAACTAATATCGTGAGTCAAAATTGTAAAACAAATTGTAACCTTGTAATACATGTGAAACACCATTTCGAATTAACAAAAGAAGGCATATGTAACAACTTCACTCTAATTTATACATTTTTAAGTTTCAGAACTGTAAATAGCTCACTCTCTTACCATCCTCGCTGTTTGCAAATACATCTAGCTATGTGTAATTATGATAAATATCTTATCTTATTAAAAATAGATTAAAGAAGTTTACAGTCACTTCAAGAGGCTAGAAAGTCTCTGCGTTAATAGGCAAAAAGAAGATCTTGGCTGCAGATTTTGGTGGGTTAAAATTTATAATGATGCAAAAATAAACAAATCTGGATAAGAATTGCTGCAGTTGCATAGAAAATTTAACTCCGTTTATGTATGTAGGCACATAATTCTACCAAATTATACATCAGTGAATCGAATGTCACTTGCAACAGAAATGCAAACATATGAAAAAGATTCAGCCTGTATTTGTGCATGTACAGGTGCAGCTGGTGCACAGGGGCCCGAAAATCTTGGAGGCCCCAATTTTTTCTTGACTAGTGGAAATACTACTTACTATTTTTAACTGAACAATTAATGAGCTATAAAAATACAAACTAGCGAAGCTTCGACATTAAAAGATAAAATAACTTGATGAGAAATATCTCATGTTAGATATAGTTTCTCCACCTCACGTGTCTCTTTTACCCTACTTAAAACTCCCAATCCAGCCCATCAAGGAATAAATTAATCGCATAAACCTAACTCTAGGTGTTCCCTCTGCCAATGAATAGTGTAAAGAAGCCATATTGCTCTAATCTTAGAACCATGATGCTGGAAGGATGGGACATTTCATCCTCATGTGCCACTGCCTCGTGCTAAAAGGACGGCACATTTCAGTTAATAGTTCCAAGATGAACCTTTTGGCAGGTTATAATTTGTTGACAGAAAATGTGCAGTGGTAATAAGTAAAACCAATGTTTTCATTATTTCTACATGGTCTAATTTTTAGTCTCGCACTGGGTCCCCATTAATTTCTCACACACTAGGGACATTTAACAAAATAACTCAAAAGAGATATGAGTGTTCCTCCCAACACTCATACCTTCACCATTGCTCGGCATGACATCAGCAGCCTGCACCTCGTCCTCATGCAACTCAGAAGTTGCAGCACCACCGGCGGCTGTTCGCATCCTGAGATGCCCGAGGTTCTTTGCGGAAACTACGATGCAGTCATCAGTTGTAAACAGAAACAGGGAGTTAGTTAATGTATAGAACGTGAATGGGGCTTCGTGTTCGCGCCTCAAGAGACGATCGATCAGGAGAGATTTGAACTTCTAGTCACACCTTCCGGTGGTTTTGTCTGCGTTGCTGACTTCACCTCATCTGTAAAATAAAATTGCAAAAAAAAAGTGATAATCCGAACGAAATTTCGCATCTGACACAGTGATCAACAGTTCGACGCTGCAAACTGACCGAAGAAAAAGATGTTGTCCCACAAAAAAAAGCGAAGAAAAATCCAACTCACAAGATTGGGGGACAATTTGTTTCGGATCGGGAAAAATACCAATCGATGCGCTCTCGAAAACTAAATCGACCGGTGCGCGCATATGCATGGCAAATGCCGGTCATTTCCAACCCCGACCAAACGAGTTACTCGGAAGCTCGCCTAAAGTTCCGACCAACAACCTACAGCTACGTGAATCCGGCGAAACCTCAAGCTAAAATCGCCTGGACGCCCGATCTAAACCGAAATGCAGGAGAAATAAAAAAGGCAAGAGTTCACGCACATGCGCCCCGTATCACTCACCATCGCTGAGTTCGATGACCTGGACGTCGGCGGCGCGCTCGTCCGGCGGCGGCCGAGCGGCGGCGGCGCCGCCTCCCCGCCGCACTTTCCACGTCCCGCGCCTCCCCCCTCTCATCGGCGCCGATCGGCCGGGGTTCGCCGCCGCGCCGGCGTGCGGGGCTAGGCCGGTAGGGTTTTCTTCCCGGGTTCGAAGCGACGGCGGCTAGGAGGACTACTGGGATGTGTGTTGCGAATGGGGTGGGGGTGGGGCGTGGGTTTAGTAGCTCGCGCGCGGGTTGGGGGAGAGCACTGGCGGGAAGTTCCATGGCGCTGGTTTCGTAGGTGGAGCCGGTGTTCGAGGCTGGGGAGCGGCATGTGGGTCCCGTGTGGTGGGCTGGCTGTGGTTACCTGTGCGACGGGTCCATGGAGTTGGTTCATGGGCGGGAAGCAGAGGCGGCGCGGGCGACGTGCGAGCGGGGAGGAGACATTAATTGGGTGCGGGCGGAGATTTTCTGCGGCCAGTTGCGCTGTTTCTACTATGGGAGATGGGAGATTTCTCGGTTGTCGTATGGGAGAAGATATCCGTGCGGATTGTGCGGCGTCCCCAAAATTAATATGTTAGTGTTGTGGTTTTGATAAGATCTTTTGTGGAGATGTTTGAATGTACTACTGGAAGATGTGACAAATTAATGTGGTTGGGTAAAGCAAAAGAGTGCATCACGTCATCATTTTTTGGTCTACTAAATAAACTTTAACTCGACATGTGTTATGATTATGCACGAAAAAAATTCATTCCCAAACCTACATCATGTCCGCTCACCAAAAACATCTCGCGACACATCCCATGCGTGGACATTCTGCTCACCTCACATCTTCTTCTGAGTACTCTCTTCTCTTTGTCGTTCTGCCACCGGTGACAGCATCAACTTCTTCACGTGTCTCTTTGTCCGTTTGTCTCTCCTTCCAAGGGAAAAACGACTAGGGTTCCTGCCTTCCGTCGGCAACGCCGTCGATGTGCCTCGTCTCCTGTGGCCTTAGGGTCATGGGACGCGGTGGATCCCGGCCCGTACTGGCGGGAAGGCTCCGTTTTTAGGTGTTTCTTTGAGTTTTGCTAGAGTTTGTGTCCTATTCTAGAAGGCGAGATGGTGTCGGCTCCCAGAAGATGGAATAAGGTTTTTCCCGCCTAGCCACCGTCCCGATGATGTGTCTAGCATCGTCAGAGGGCGTATGGAGGTGTGTCTCCGATGGATCACGCGAGGATTCGGTCGGTGATCATCTTTGGTGGATCTGCTCAGATCTTGTCTTCGTTTGACTATGTACGTATATCTTCATGTTAAATCCTTTCGATACATGCTTCTCTTCATCGGCGGCGGTTGCTGTTCTGGTGCACTAGTTCTTTGGGGGCCTTAACACGATGACTTCCAACTCTCTACCACAACAAGTTTTGTCCGGCTTGGCGAGGGAGGGCGATGAAGGCGGTGCGCCTTCGACTCGCTTCAATGCTTTTAGTCGTCGCTAGGTGTTCTACGGATTTGGATGTATTTTTTGTTATTTTTGATATTCGTTGTACTGTCATAATTGAAGATTAATAGGTTGAAAGTTTACCACAAAAAAGGAAGACAACTCAAGTTCCCCGCCTCATGGACCCCTTTTTGTTGTTGCATGTGCTACTACTTGACAATGCCATTATAGGGATCTACTCAAACTCCAAATATCACTTTGTGAATCATCCCCATCGAATGTCTCTGGACTATGCCGCCTCCTGCTTATCATCCCATTCGGACATTGCCCTTGGTGTTCATGGTTGATCAAACAAACAAGGAATGTCTATTTGCATGTGATGCATAGGGAGGTGTTGCGCCAAACCCGCCTCCTCGTATCCTTTCTCCCGATCCTCAACCACCTCATATGCTTTTCCTTATCGCCTAACACCTCTGAATTGTGGGGCCCATACCACGGCGCAACGGAATTTGTCCTCCCCATCATCCACAACTATATTCTCCTCTCTGCACCACACTGTGATCCCTAGCTGAGTCGACTTGATTTGTTTGTTATGTGTTTGTGTATTTTAGTTCTTATATAACTATTGCTTTATGTGCATGCGGATCTCCAAAATCCAATTGCAATCATCAAGATAAATAATAACACTCTCCAAAATGGTGGGGTCAACACTAGCTAAAGAACTGACCTCTCCAAACCCATTTTCATCTATTGCAACCATCGTCATCAATAAAAAATTCATCATTTGCACCATATAAATTTTGTATGCCATAAGGAGTATCATAATTGTCTCCCCAATCAAGAACAGTATAATAAGTAGCAGGCATAACATAATCATCCTCAATAGTGATAATAGACGTAGTGTCACCATAAAAAGCAATACTTTCATCAAGTGCGTCATTTTTTTGAATAGCAAGACCAAAGAAAATTTTCTCCCTGAGATTTTAGCTACCCACTCATCATAGGAATGACCATTAGCTTTATCATAGCACTCATCATCTAGAGCACGGGAATCGATGTCGATGATGACGGAGATGATCCCCCTACGGGAGAGTACTAGATGAGGGTTGAAAACGAAGATTGCCAAGAAATGCGATGTAGTGGCGGCGAAAAAATGCTCGATAATTAGTGTGGAGGTTTCACTGAATATTTAGATCATCGAGCACCGGAGCCACCTACCCACAGGCCGTAAGCGCCCTTGTAAGGTGGTCGCTTAGGCTGTCCGGGCCCCATCATATTCTTCTGGCACAAATCTTCCCCACCTATTGTCGTTTTATTGTTTCTTAGACTTTTTCAATTTTATTGTCCGACGTCACATCTCCTTCCTCCAATAAAATGGAAAGTACACGGAAATAAAATATTCGACCAGGTGTCCTGCCTAATCCATCACCGTATACTATTTGATAATACTAAATCTTCTTACAAGTGCTGCCAAGCCATATCGACCCATCAATATTGGGCGAAGACGAATGCTCTATGCAAAGGATGGTGTAAAATATAAACGTTGATAAAATATACTCAGGAAAGTTGGTTATTCGAGCATTTAACTACCGATTTGCTTAATATTGTTATTCATCATAAGTTGTTCAAGAGGCACACTTTCTTTTTTGATGTGATTTCTACTATATATTCAGCCTTCAGGTCCATTTTGTGAGCTTATGATTTCTCCACTTTTACTTTTTCTAGACCAATATTAGCTTTCTATGTCTTCAGTTTTTTCTTTTCGCCCTTACTGCCGTGCAAAGGCTAGATGGATATCGATAGCCTCTTACATACGGTTTTCTTTTTCTGTTTTGGAATCTTCACATATACACAGCTGCACAATTGTGTGCTTTAAATTCAAAGTGTGCCGGGGTGGCAGTAGAAGGGAGATTGTGACCGGATGAGCCATTGACATAGGTGGTAAGACTAGATTGGGGAGACGAAGATAGTAGGCAGTGCGAGATACTCTCTCCGTTTGGAATTACTTGTCGCGGAAATAGATGTACCTAGACGTATTTTATTTGTAGATACATCCATATCCGAGGGAGGAAGTACAATTGACGTGCATTCTAAAATATGGATGCCCATCTCTGAACAGAGGAGGACACGGTCCAAGACACCAAGCAGGGCGCGATGACGAGCTCCCCGAATCGGCAACAAGGCCGAGCACACGGGAGGACGAGCGAGCGAGACATGACATGAGGGAGCCTCACCGGCCGTAACGTAATGTTTATTCATTCCACCGGCAACATGCATGATTCCAAGTCAAAGTATCCTCTCTAGCTACTGCTACGTACTACTACTAACATAAAAAACTTGTTGCCGGCCGGACGGATCGGATCCCGGCTACTTGCCGGCGATCGAGAACTTGTAGAGCATGTAGTGCTTGTACACCTGGCCCGCGCGGTAGATCTCGGTGGGGAACTTGGGGTTGTGCACGGCGTCGGGGAAGTCCTGCGTCTCCAGGCACAGCCCGCCGTGCCTCTCGTACACGGCGCCGCCCTTGCCCTCGTCGCCCTTGAGGAAGTTTCCCGTGTAGAACTGCACGCCGGGCTGGTCGCCCCACAGCTCCATCACCCGCCCGGACGTGGCCTCGCTCACCACCGCCACCTTGCGCACCCCCTGCCCGTCCGCGTCGCGCCCGTCCAGCACGTAGTTGATGTCGTAGCCGCCCTCCACCTCCGCGATGCGCGCGCCGGGCGCCGCCGGGGCGCGGAAGTCGAAGGGCGTGCCGGCGACGGGCGTCACGGCGCCCGTGGGGATGAGGTCGCCGCCGACGGGGGTGACGGCGGACGCGAAGATCTGGACGGAGTGGTCCAGGACGGTGCCCCGCCCGTGCCCGCGCAGGTTCCAGTACGTGTGCTGCGCCAGGTTCACGGGCGTCGGCTTGTCCACGGGGCGGGCGTACATGGTGACGCTGTACGAGTAGTCGCCGTCGATCTTGTAGGTGACGAGCACGTCCAGCGCGCCCGGGAAGCCCTCCTCGCCGTCGCCGCTGCGGTAGTAGAAGGTGATGTAGGGGAAGGCGCCGGTGGCCCGCTCCCGCACCGACCAGAACACCTGGTTGAAGCCGCGGTGGCCGCCGTGGAGCGTGTTGTTGCCGTCGTTGGTGTAGGTGTGGTAGGGGTGGTTCTTGATCGTGAACCGCCCGCCGGCGATCCGGTTCGCCACCCGCCCCACCAGCGCGCCGAAGTAGGTGGTGTCATTCTACGGCAATCAAGAAAAAGGGAAGGATCAAACGAACTAATCAATCAATGTCGGCGGCACCACCACCACCGAGGTTAAGCAAAAGTTCAAGATCAAGCAACGCACCACGTAACCTCCGATGGTCTTGTACCCAAGAACGACGTCGTCGATGCGCCCTGCCGATTAACCATGGATGCATAGATCAGCATCTCCATCTTAACAAGAAACAAAATCAAGGGAATACGTACTAAGAGCAGCCAGTACCGTTCTTGTCGGGAAGCCTGACGGAGAGGATGGTGGCGCCCCAGTTGGTGACGACCATGGAGAACTCGCCCCGGCGCAGCTCGTAGTACCCCAGGGTCTCCTTCCCCGGGTGCTTCCTCGCCTCCACGCCGCCCAGCGACGCGGCCACGGCCAGGCACAAGAGCGGCGCTAACGCCATCATCGTCTTCATGCTCATCGCCGCCATGATTCTCTTTCCAAAGTTTCTAATCTCTAACCGATCGAAGCCGCCTTCCAGCTGCGTGTACTCTTGTTTGCTCCGGTATTTATAGAGGAGCATGGTTAGCACTCGAGAGAGAGCAACGACTGTCCTGGTCAACAGGGGAGGATGGGATCGGATAACAGACGTCGCGTTAATCTGTGCAGGTTGAATCGAACCACCGTATTTGACTGTTACGTGAAAAACGGCAACTATCAGGAGCAAAACGTTCGCTCCATCGGCGCGACGCCTTCCTGTCCCTCGGACGTGGCTATCTCCGCCTCGACTACTTGAAAATCACTGAGTTTTCGTTTATACCTCACAGGTCACCAAACAGAGAATGTAAAGCCACTGCCCAAAGCGACTAATTGGTCTGAAAATCATGTACTTTGGCCAGAGGTGCGATTGTATTTTTAACAGGAGGTCAATGCTTGGTTTGCACTGTATTTTTGACTTGTGCAATATAATTCGACCTTACATAACATCCTCTTAGTGTGCAATATAGTTCGACCTTTTAACAGAAATTCAATTCTGAGCCTGAGCTCACGTGCACCAGATGGACAATACAATCAAGGAAAATGTCAAGCAAATAAAATAAAATGCTAATTTTTTTGGTAACTAACTTGTACGCTTGTTTTGACTCTGCGAAAATTGCTTAAGAAATGACATTTGTGGTGGTCTGAGAAAAAAAAAGGTGGTTTAAAAAACTTTCAAATTGATGGACAATACAATCAAGGAAAATGTCAAGCAAATAAAATAAAATGCTGTTTTTTGGTTTCTCACGTGTGTGCTTGTTTTGGCTGTACGAAAATTGGTCAAGAAATAACATTTGTGGTGGTCTGAGAAAAAAAAGGCGCTTTAAACAACTTTCAAAAATAAGCTTTTTTCGTACCACTATATTTTTTATGGAGCAACATCAATGTCATTTCTCCTTGAAAATTTGCACACAACTAGAACATGTGAACACGTTTATTGTTAATCCGTACTTTTGCATTTTGTTTATGCGGGTGCATGAGCTCAAGAACCAAAACTTCGCTGCACATCATACCTATGTTTCAAAATATAAGGGGTAGGAGTATTATTTTTCTGGAAAGTCTAACCTTTTAAGTTTGATCAAATTTATAGAGAAGTATATCAAAATCCATAATATCAACTCCATATGATTAGATTCATCATGAAATGAATTCCCATTTTTTTAATATTATGGATGCGATATTTTTTGTTCTGATCTTGCTCAAAGTTAAAGAAATTTGACTTTTCAAAAAACTAATACCCCTTATATTTTGGTGCTGATAGAAGGAATATTTAGTCTGGCTGGTGGGGGAGATGACGGAGTGTATTTTATTTATTATTTATAATAAGGTGATTCCATGGGCCTTTTGTGGTGTGGTTTTGTGCTATCTGCTAACCAATGTATATTTATGTGGGGAAATTTCTATGTGGGTAGCTGCATTTACTATATTGATGTACAATATCACATGGTGACACTTCTTTTTCTAGTGGTGGGAGGGTGTGTGGAATTGATGTGTTTTTATAGGCCGGTTGTTGCTAATTGATTTGAAAAATCGTTGGCCCGGTCAAAATCGTATACCAAATCCAAAATTGAATACCGCAATTGCATGAAAAAGCTTCAAAATTAGGGAACATAGGACAATAAAAGAATTAAATGGAAGAGCTCCTTGAGAATTTGTTGATCTGATCAAAATTGGGTGACCCAACTATAAATTGAACAACTCAATTCGGGTGACCCAATTTTAATTGGAGAGTTCAATTATATGTGGGCTCTTTAAAACTAAGGAGTATAGTGTTATAGAACGCATAGTGTATAATATAAAAGAATTGAATGAGAGTGCTTCAAGAAATTGTTAACCCGGTCAAAATTGGGTGACCCAATTTTAATTGAAGACTTCAATTAAATGTAGGCTCTTTAAAACTAGGGAGCATAGTGTTATAAAGGATTAAGCTATCTAATGGTGGTTCCCATATTCAAGCATAAAATGTGAAACCAACATAATATTGTTTGGGCAAATAAAAAAACCTTCAGTG